AGTGTACCGACATTCAAAGGGTTGTAAACTTTCCTTTCCTCTTTCCTTTCTCATGCTTAATGGCTTGTTTGACTATTACCCCCAAAGTAAATATTCGCCATTATTTATTTAGTAGGGTAACCGTGACACTATTTATCTCAAAAACCAGTGCAGTATAGCAACCTGGCCATTTTCACGTTGAACAGGTGAGCATTAACAGAGGATAGTGCGCCTGGAAGAAGGCGCGTTTTCCCGCTGGTTTCAAGAAACTGTGAAACTTATTCCTGAGTAGCTATTCAGTGATTGGAAAAAGGAAGGATCGTCTTCGACCGTTGTAATGTGGGTCTTCTTGGAACTTTCATGGCGGGGCTACTTTTTGACAGTCTCCCCTTCATGGAGCATGTGGTGACGCCGCCAACGTCTGTTTCGATCCCGCTTAGCGGGGTTTTTGTTATTTCAATGGCCACACCTGCAACTCAACGACGGTTTATGGCGTGAGGTTCATTTCCTTTCCGAAGGAACTGTACTCATTTCCATTAAATGAAAGGGAGAACGATAAGTAAACTGACTGGGAATCGAATCTGGGACCTCTTCATTCCGAGTAATTGTTTGAACATTGAATATTGAGGCTACTATCCTCACATTCTATCGCAAAGATTCACATGGCAATTCTCCAACAAAAAATAACAACGTTCAAACAATAGAGCATTAATCACTGGACACAGTAGCAGGAAGAGTTTAGAAATGTGTACTTCTGGCTAAATTCTCATTTCTGTGTCAACCAAGCGAACTTCATCAGAGCTGAAACTTCATATTTTGGGCTGTTTTCATCTTCTGATACGAAAGTAGTCTAAACGCAAAACTAAAGAGAGCCAAGGTTGTTTAAAGGCATCCGAAGAATATAGCCCTTGGATTTCACATAGAACAACTATTTCACAAGTAACAACGAAGTTTGTGGCATATTTGGCTCGTAAAGTCTACAGCAAATGACTAGTGAGCGAATCATAGCATCAAAAATGCATAGTTTGTGTTATAGAAGTGTGATTATTATTTATTAGTGAATAATTTAGTGAACTAATTATTTATTACCAATTATTTAACTAATTATTAACCAATTATTTAGTGAACTGTTTTCACAGACGATTGATTAATTCCAAGTCTAACAAAGGTCGCTTAACCTCAAGCTGTTACATGTACTTCCAGTATTGCATTGAACTCAGAACACAAATTATTGACCCAGAAATGAAGTTTTGTCAGGTTGGTCATTCTCGTGAAATCAGTAACTCTTACATTCCTCTTTTCTGAACCTATTGGTGCTAGCATTGAAAAAATTATACAAGTTTTTGTTTCATCCCTATGGTGGACTCAAAGCAAATCAGTTAGGATATGTAAGCTGCTATA